GAGAGAGAGAGAGAGAGAGAGAGAGAGAGAGAGAGAGAGAGAGAGATGCAAAGTCAGATCGCTTTCTGTGCTCAACACACTCTGGTCTTTCTGCTGTGTTTGCAGGCTTTGCTGAAGAGGATCTGTGATGCCTACTATCTGCCTGCATGGTGTTCCACGGATGACTATGTGAAGATTGCCAAGGACCTGGGGTTAGAGGTTGGCCATCATACCCCCTCCAAAGGGTCACTTTGACAAAAATTCAGATTTCAAATGCCTAGCCCTCCACCTCCACCCCACTTCCATTTTTAATTTGGATGTAAGGTGAACAGGATTGCGATCAATGCTGGCTCGATGAGAATGCATAGTCTGTACATATGCTGGCCCACTGAGGCTAACTATCATTGTTCCTATGACATTGGAAGCAAAGAGTCACTGCAAAAAAAAAATTCCTTGCAAGCTTGCAAATCATTCAGTAAATGTAAGGGTGTGCTTCTAACCTCCAATATGATAGAGACCAAAGGCACAGTGATATTGGATTGGAACCCCGGACCACCATGCATCACACACTTTTACACGATTCTCACACAAGTCCGAACACACACGAAGGGACTCAAGAATAGTCTTTGCAAATCAACACAAGTAAACAGAATTGTTTTCTTCAAGCTTGCGGCTATGGACGCTCGAATACATCCCACAGGTAAGTCTCTTCTCTCATTTGTTATTCTCTCTCAGCCTACTCTATGGTCACACAGGCCTCGGACACTCCCTCTCTGAATGTCTTCTGCTCGATTCACCTTCTTCACGTAGGTATCATCTCCTACTGCGACGTGACACAAGGTGTAAATTAGCGAAGTCGCCCCCTATATCGGCATCCACTTGGACATCAGTGGAGATCGTCTTTTGTGCTGGTGAAATACCAGTTTGTCGTCAATGAACTTTTGATCACATATGCCACATCAGCATCATGGCTCCCATAATGATGCGTCATGAACAAGAGTGAAATCCCTGTGCATGACAATTCATCCATGGGTCTCGTGAACGCTACGTCAGCACCCTGTTTCCATCGAGCTCATCAGTAAAGAGATGAGTCCGCTACCTTCTGCCATGTCAGCAAACGCGAGGTACTGCATTCAGCCCAAGTCGCACCCTCGCAGTGTTGCCAGCTGATCTTCTACCAATGCACGGTGGGCTTGCTCATCAGGACTGATCAGCTTCTTTCTGATAGCCAGGACAGCAAGACAAGCCGCCACTCTGTTGTGCACCAGGTTATCTGCTTCGCGCTCTATGCCGATGCCCTGCTCGCATCACGTCCGCAAGGTGTGAGTTGGCTAGCCACATCACCACTGATTCCGCCTTGTTCCTTCAAGGCGCAGATGGTAGTTCGACTTTGGCAGACCAACAAGCTGTCACTTCGTCGTGCACTAGGTCGTCTGCCTTAAAAAGCTGCCACTATGTCGTTATCCTGCTTGCGCTACGTCAGCAAGGCGTGAGTCGGCTGACGCTAGCCACAGGGCCACTGATTCTGCCTCACTCCTTCAAAGTTTGGTATTGCACCTTCGACGTGTGGATGGTAGTCCAGTTGTTGCAGATCAGCAGAGCCACCACTTCATTGTGCACCAGGTCATCTGCCTCACACTAGTGTCATTCACTGTCCTGCTTGCGTCACACAGCTGGTAATCACAGCATCATCGATTTTCAGCCTAGCTCGCTTGATGCTCAGCTTTCAATCTATTGTAACCTCGCCATTGCGTACAGGCTCCTAGTAGAGAGATGCCACCATCAACCGCTCTCTTGGCAACTTATGTCTAGTTACCTCCTCTAGCCCCAGCCAGCTCTGACAAGATGTCTTACATTCGTGCTCAAGCTACCTAGAGTTCGCTTTCAAATCACCATGTAGCAGCACCTTCTGAAACCTGGTCGGCATCATAAAATAGAAACTAGCCCACCCCGCAAACTAGAAAGCTATCTTGCACATCAGATATGCAGTTGATGGCACCGAGTGATCGTTCCCAGGATCAACTGCAAGGTCAATCACATGGCTCGTCATGCATCAATACAAATATACATAATGAAGTGGGATGTTACATTTGACAATGCACCTCATCCTGCCATCACCGCACTGCAACACCAGTGACGCTCAGCTCTTCTGTCCCGCATTGGCATGCTGTTGTTGCTGTTTCTGTCATTGTCGTCGTTGTTGTTGCTGTTGCTGTCGTTGTCGTCATTGTCGTTGCCGTTGTTGTCATCGTCGCGATTGTCATTGTTGTGGTTGTGGTAGTGGTTCTTGTTTGCATGGATATTGTTGTCGTTGTCGTTGTTGTTGTTGTTGTTGTTGTTGTTGTGGTTGTTGATGTGGTTGTTGTTGTCATGGCGGTTGTTGCTTTTGTCGGCTGTTGTTGTTGTCGTCCTTGTCCTTCTTGATGCTGTTCTGCTTTTTGTGCTGTTGTCCTCCTCCTGGGTGTGGTCCTCCTGCTGGTGGCTGTGGTCCTCTCCCTGCTGGTTGTGGTGGCCCCTGCTGGTTGTTCTTGCTGCTGTTCCTGCTTTTGCTGTTGCTGCTGTTGCTGTTGTTGCTGCTGTTGCTGTTGTTGCTGCTGTTGCTGTTGCTGTTGCTGGTGTTGTTGGTGTTGCTGTTGCTGCTGCATTGCTGCTGCTGTTGTTGCTGTTGTTGTTGTTGTTGTTGCTGTTGCTGTTGCTGTTGCTGTTGCTGTTGCTGTTGCTGTTGCTGTTACGGTCCTGGCCAATTTCGAAATGCAAAATCATGAGAAAGTACAATGCCGCCCAACTGCAAAAAGAAATGAATGAACTTGAGAGAAGAGAGAGGGAAAGAAGAAGAAGAAGAAGAAACAAAGAAGAAAGAGAAACAAAGAAGAAGAAGAAGATGTACAGCAGCAAACGACCAATGATAATTCCCTCTTCTTCTCGCCAACCAAACTCCTCTTCCTTTTCTCCTCCCCTCTTATTCAAATAATAAATAACAATAGTAATGATGAATGGAGGAACCAGAATCAATGTCCGAATCCCTGTTCTACTGCCAGCACAACAAGTGGCCCACCATAGCCATGGCGCCCTCTTCTCTATCTTCTTCCAGGCGGAGGCTATGGCGGACTACTAAGGGCCTTGTCCTGAGATGCAAAAGACAACGCAAAGCAGCTATGGCCTCTTTCACTCAGGCCGCCATGCCTGGCTCTGCCTCGAAGCTTCTTGATGCAGCTCTACCCCAACAGGGACCTTCCAGATGCAGTGCCCACCAAGGTGATGAAGATGACGTCCACCATAGCCAGGTAAGTACCCCTGGCACTCCCCTCTCCTAGTCCCTTTCTTCATCTTCCTTGTACCCGAGCTCCTCCACCATAGCCAAGGTGGAGAGCTGGGTGCCCTTCTTCCCCAGCGCTGCACCGACCAGTGCTCCAGCAGCGTGATGCCAAACTTGCACGCAGCAAAATGAGGCTGAGCCTCTCGCTCAGTCTGGAGATATAGCGGCCAACCTGCCTATTGGGCGGTGACTTTCAGACCGCGCGGCCTCCAAGCAACCGTTACCTCCTCCCTTTCGGTGGGAAACATCATTGCAGGCTCTGATATCGCCCGCACAGACCCTAGACTCAGACTACTTGGACTGGTACCCGCCTAGACCTAGCCTACCGCTACTGGGCCTCTAAAAATGCCAACTTTTTGTCTTCTTCTGCTCGGCCTCCGGTTCCCGACACATCTTCTGCTACTTTGAGTGGTACCGGCCTACCTACTACTCGAGTGCCTACGGCCAACACTACTGCTACTCGAGTGTGCCCTAAGCTACCCCCTTCGGCCACTCGAGTGTTTTTCCCCGTTGCAACCCCAAAATCACGGCCACAGGTAAGTACCGGTCCTGCGAGGCCTTCCAAACAAACAAGTGCCCTGGTGGGCCACACACACACTCAAGCCAACAAGCACTCAGACAAGCACGCATGCCAGCAAGCATGTATACACACAGACTTAGAAAACTCAGTAAAAAGCGGGAATGTTACGATCTTGGGTATTTCCGAAGTGCAAATTTAAAAGGAAAGACAATGCCACCCAATTGCGAAAGAAATGAAAGCACTTGCAAGGCGATAGAGACCAAAGAAGAAGAAGACGAAGAAGACGAAGAAGACGAAGAAGAAGAAGAAGAAGAAGAAGAAGAAGAAGAAGAAGAAGAAGAAGAAGAAGAAGAAGATGTACAGCAGCAAGACCAATGACAAATACCCCTTCTCACTCCACCTTCCTCCTCCTTGTCTTCGCCAATATTATTCTTCTCCCAAATAATAATAACGATCGGATGCCCGCCGCGGAGGGTATAAGAGCAGGGAAAACACACACACACACACACACACACACACACACACACACACACACACACACACACACACACACACACACATTACATGAGAACAAATCGGAAGTCTCTTCCAGGGAGCTGGGTGGGGCCGCGGGTGGGGAGGGCGGCTAACGCAAAGACCGAGCGTGCGTCCCCTGGATAGGCTTAGGAGTAGTGGTAGGTATGCTTGCAGGGGTCCCCTGGATAGGCTTAGTAGTGGTAGGTAGATAGTGAAAGATAAAATCGAGAGAAGGAAAGAAAATAGAAAGTTGTTCCTTCCAGGTGAGGCGCGCTCAACAGAGGGCCTCGCTCCACCATTCACCAAAAGTGCAAAATAAGAATGCATCTTCCCCTAGACCACGGGGAAATACATCGGTATATTTTTTGTCTTTTGTGCATGTCTTGGGCAGCGGAGAGAGGCCAGGTGGGCCGATTTTTGGCTAGAACATGGAAAGATACGACCTCATATCTTTTGCCTTTGTGCATGTGGTGAAATGCCCCAACGAATCTACATGTGGCATAGCATCCCCCCCACAAAAAAACGAAAATCTATTGAAAACAGAATAACGAATCTGCCAAAAGAAAAAGAAAAACAAAAAAAAACAACACAATGTATCCGTGCGCCCCTAAACACACAGGGCCTCGGACAAACAACAAAACTCGTCGCAGTGTATCTTTCCATGTTCTAGCGGAAGATTCACTCCGCGCACCACGAAACAGATGCAGCGATAGGAAAAATGCCGGTCCAAATCATGGCGGTGTATCTTTCGATGTCCCCCACCCCCCATAAAAAAACCGAACTGAGGAACAGCTGGCAACACAGCACGTGACCTCGAAAGAAGACAAAAGCAAAAAGAGGCCACGGAACTCGAACATGCGGCGGGAGCTTCTTAGCACATGCCACAGCCACTCCGACGAACGAAAAAAAAAACTAACTGAGGAACAGCTGGGTTGCGGGTCACACACACACTCAGGCCGACAAGCACTCAGACAGGCACGCAGACCAGCAGGCACGCACACACACAGGCTTAGAAACTGCAGCAGAATGCGGGAATCTCAGCAAGGCATACATTCCAGTGGCAAATCCCAGAAATCAGCAGTGTTCTCAGTCTGTGTTTTGGCGGGTCATTACAGGAATCTCAGCAAGGAATTATTCCAGCGGCAAAACTCAGAAATCAGCTGTGTTCTCAGTCAGTGTTTTGGCAGGTCCTTACAGTTGCTGCTGCTGTTGCTGGCTGCTGCTGTTGTTGTTGCTGCCGTGGTTGTTCTTGTTGCTGTGTGGTTGTTTTGTGGTTGTGGTGGTAGTGGTTGTGGTGGTGGTGGTTGTGGTGGTGGTGGTTGTGGTTGTGGAGGTTGTGGTCGTGGTGGTGGTGGTGGTGGTGGTGGTGGTGATTGTTGTTGTTGTTGTTGTTGTGGTGGTGGCTTTGTTGGTGGTAAAGTGATATTGTACTTATAACATAATCTAGGCTGGGCCGTCACCTGGCCAGGCATGCCCAGGCCAGCTGGGCTGGGGGGCCTCGCCCGGCAAAACCAGGCAGGTCAAAAAAGAGGGAAGGGTCCCCAAGAAACAGAAACTGGCTTCAGGCCAGGACTGCTCTCGGCCTGAGCAGTCAGAATCCGGCCTTACCTTCCATTTCGGTGGTGGGTCACCCCGGGTTGTTTGGGGGGTATAAAGTTACTCTTTTTTTTTTCTTTTTTTTTTTGGTATAAAGTTACTCTAAATGGTGACTAGAGAGGTTTAAAAGGGTATATCTTACCTCATTTCTCCTCATTTATTTTTATCTTAAAATTAATAAGGAATTTCGAGGGGACCCTCAACCAAAAGTTGCTTATAGCCTTATACTGCAATTTTACACAGCATATCTTTTTCGGAAGTTTTTCCCAGTTTTTTTTTTTTTTTTTTT